CGCTTCGAGGCTAGCTCTTACAATATCTTTTTTCTCAATTTTTGTTGGTTTCAACTCGACTTCCTCCAATTTTTCCCTTGGCGTTTCACGAGGCACTTGCGGAGTTTTCTTCAACACTACCGCTTCCTCTGTCCAAGGTTTCACCTGGCCTTCCACAGCTTGCAATTTGTCCAAAGATGTGTCGCGAGATTTCGGTTTCGTTTTTCTCCATGGCGTCACGTCGCCAAGTCGAGGTCGATGATGAACCCGTCCCTTTCTCCAAGGTAACGATTCGTCACCAGATTGCAAGGGTAAACTTTCGATTGGCAATCCATTCTCGTCTAGAGTCAATGGCTCTAGGATAATGTCTCTTCCATAATCTGTCGATGGTTTTACACCTGGTCCCATCTCAGCAGGAACCTCGTAATACGCTCCTTTCCTCTCTGCAATGGTACACACGCGCCAGAATAATTTTAAATCGCGTTTCAGGATAGCGATCGTTGAATCATCACTCGTTTCAGGGAAAGAGATATCTGATTATCATGCTAAAAACAAGCTGGCAAACTGGTACGCGAAATGAAATGTGGATCGGGTAAGTGATTTATTAGTGTATGTTAAATTATCGTTTTAAAGATTTAATGATTCGTTTCTTGTGTTCTAGTGGAATATGGTGTAACGAATTATCTTTAATTAGTTATAGATAGATATAATCATATATCTATAATTAATTATAAACATTAGTTTGTTATATTATTTGTATTTTATGGTAAGTTAATGCAATACATATTTAAGATTAATTGGTAATATGTAATGGTTTTCAATAATCATTTTAAATATATATAATTAAAAAGATTTAAAAGTTGTAATATTGATTGATTTTTGTGAAAATAATTCGTAAACTTATATAAATATTTAATATATAATTATTTACTATATAATAGTAAAGTTAAATTATCCAAGAAAAATTCAATTAATGAAGAATTACAAGTCGATCATTTAATTATTTTATTTCTTCCATAATATTTTTCATTGGAACTAATTTTTTTTGTTTGCTATTGTAACTCTCCAAGTTATAAGAAGAATTAAAAATATTAAAAAATTATTTTATAGAGTAAAATTATTTCAACTTTGAAATATCACATACAGAAGAAATAATAGATATATGTCATTATATGAATCATATATATGAATCATACGTACATATGTCATCTAATTAATATTTCATAGAATATGCAAAATATTGTACTCATAATTACAATTATAGCAATTACGTTTGTACACAAATTCTTATTTAATATTCAAAACATCAACAGAAACGAATAACGACTACTCAACCGAATTCAAAAATTGTAGTGTCAAGCAAAACGATGTCAGGATTAGATACGCATAAAAACAAAAGATTTACTTTCATTCGTAAATCGTGTCAAAATTCCTTTACGAATCCAACAATAAAAAGTTTACGTTTCTAGTTCACGACTCAACGCTACACACAACTCGTAAACTGTGAAACGGAAAATTGAAACGATCCAAAATGATTTATTTTCAATTTCTGTGCTCCCCTTGTATCTCGATTTCACGAACAATGCCGTCATTTATGCTGTAACATGCCAAACGAGAGCCCATCCAAGCGGAGGATATTTTTAATTATTACTACCACAGCCACAACAACTCGAATAAAATGAACGAGTCTGAAGGAAGGATGGAATAATTAGACCAACCGAGATTGCAAACAGGAAACGAATCATGTTTCATTTTAATATGATACATATAGTCAGTCACACAAGTCTTGACAGACAAATCCAACTAATAAATTGTATTATCAAAACCAGCAATAATTCTGTTTCATATGAAATGTAAACAGATCACAACGGTCTAAGCTCTTTCTTTATTTCTTCTTCATTTATTAGATAAAAAGAAATGTTAAAATTTCGATCAAATAATAATAATAATAGCTTTTGTTAAAATTAATAAAATTTTTATACATAAATGATTTAATAAAATTTGTCATTACTATAATAACTTATAAATTTAACTTATAATAAATCTATATGAAATTTTTGTTATATACGTAAAATTGCAATATAAATAAAATGAATAAATAATTTAGCTTGATCTTGGATAAAATAAATAATAAAATTGGCAGTGATAATCAAAATCTAATATTATTCATTAAAATTATTTTTATTCGTTTAATAACTTTAAAAGGATGAAATCGATCTTTGAAATATTATTTTTTATTTCTTTTTCAAAATAATAAATTTGAAACTGAATCTGAAATCTAAAATATTTAGATTTTAATACCTTTTAAAAAATATTTCGAGAGAAAATTCTATATACGAAATAAATTGTTTCATAATTTTGTGCAACAATAAGTTTTCATTAAAATCCAATTTTTCAAAATTGACAAATTCCCATTACAATATTTGAAGATACTTTTGTGACTGACTGTAACGTAGAAACAATGAATGACGACATATAGCCGGTTTGCAAAATCGTGGATAAATCACAATTTCAATTAATCATAATACGGTCACACGGCAATGTAACCCGGGTCTTATAAATTTTCCTTGGTATTCGCGTGTAAATGCACTTGAAAATTTACGTTTCGCAACGTCTGGATGGGGCCTATGGACCGGGGCCAAGTCGACCTCGCAAAAGAGAAATCAAGGCATATCGCCAGCGGATCGGCCTTCGAAAAACCGAGTTATTCGGATTGTTAATATTCTGACGTGGAATAATAATCTTGATGAAGCGCGATTTATTTTTAAAAATAAATCACATCTGATTCCACACATCCTCCATTTCAAAACAGGCTGTATTTTTGCATAACGAATTTACGGCATCGTAGCTATACGAATCGAATAAATTTCATTAAAAAAATCGTGAAACTTGTTTGTTTTAACGCCATGATTTCTTCTGTTTTCTTTTCTTCTCTTTCGTTTTCTTTTCTTTTTTTTTTTTTTTTTCAAGAAAAGAGATTGAATTTATGACGATAGTTGTTTTCGAAACGAAGGATTAACCGATTCTCGAAACGTTGAAAATGGTCGGTTCAGGCACGATGGTTACTTTGATTTCTTTTTCATTCTCAGCAGGAGGCTTTGCCGTAATATCAACGAAATCGTGGAACACGGTCTGGTGTTAAACTTCGCGTGACTTTATTTTTAAACACGACAAGAAACGGACGATTCGTCATCGGCTAGGGAGAATCCGAACGAACAAACTTTTTCGCGGTTCTGTATTTTTTTTTTTTATTTTTCGTCTCTTTTCGTGTGGATATTTTTGCGTCGTTTGTGCGTGAACAATCCTTTTCTCGTGAGAATGAATAATTAATAAGATTCTTTTATTTCTTGTGTTGAATTAGTCCAAATAAACGAGAAAGTTTAATAAAATTGTACGAATAGATATTATTAATTTTATAAATTACGTATTCGTTTCTAATATAATTAATTACAGATCAATTGGATGTATAATATTGAAATATGATCTCATATATCACGAATATAATAATATTTTGTTCGATTATTTGAATTTTGGATCTTTAATTCGAATGATAGAATATGCAATTTGAAGATTAAGTTGAAAGTAATTGTTAGATATTTGATATTTGATATAAATATTCTCTTCTTCATTGATAAATTTTTCAATTGTTAATTCAAAATATATTTCATTAATATTTGCAACATATACGATTTTCTCTTCAAATTGTAAAGAAATTTCTTGGCATCGAAATCGTCTTTATTATTAAATTCTCTATGTTACACTATTTATTATTAAACTTATTTTCTAAATTATTTTTAAATTATTCTGTATTTTTTTCAACTATTTCAAAACTTCTTTGAACAACTTTCATTGACAAATTTCAAATTTCAAATTTTCTAATTACAATTCATTGTTTCTTTCAGTTTTAATCTTCATTGTTTACAAAATTATTAACAAATCCTTCAGCAATCAATTCTCCAATTCGAAATTTTCCTCATTTATAATCCCAAATAATCCATCTGCAATTTTCTAACAATTTCTTTTTTTCAAACTTTCATCGATTCTCTAACTAAATCTTTACAAACATCAAAAAAAAAAAATTATTCAACTATCAAAATTCCAATAATTTCCTCTTCTCTCGAATTAAATAATTCTCTCGAAATAAAAAATTATTTTTCAAAAATTCCAACGAAACGAGTGCATTCCAACAAAGTGCACAGCCAGAGTTGGGCATTGACTCGTTGAAAAAGTGACTAATTAAAATTTTCGAATAAAATTACTTTAATCGTAATCACTTATTAAAATGCTTGAACTACATTTATTATAATTGATTCGCTCTTCTCGATCGTTTCTTTTTCTTATTACATTTCGAACAATAAACTGAAATATCTTTATTCAAATTATTAAATTTATTTTCGCTGCGTGCACAGCCTCCCAGCACACAAGTGCACGCTCCCGTCTCTCGTCTGTTAGACACCAACGTTTCCACGGAGAGTAGGTGCAACGCGGAAGCCCCGTCTAGCATTCCAAGCTCGCTAATAACCCGGCGGCGGGTCATTATTCTAGAGAAGGAGGTGACGGCGGTCGCCACGCAGTTTCCCACTCAAAATGAAAAACCCGAACGCGAACACGTGGAGGGGATGATGCATGCGGAGGCTACTTTCAGTGGCCGAGCACGTTGGTGGGGTTGGACTCTCGTGTCTCACGCACGCACACTCTCTACCCCGAGCTTAGTCTAGCCTTAATAGTCATCCACTGGAAGCCGGAGACGATCGAGTCTGTCCTCGGCCACGATCACGCGTCCTCTCTGAATTTTCCATCGTTCTCTTCGCGCCATCGTCGACCGTCCAAGTTATCCAACGTTCGAAGAAATATCGTGCGGTGTTTCAGTGATACAGGAGGGTGAATTACTTAGTGTTTAATAGTTTCGTTGTATCAACGCTCGATGTTGTTGACAGCTGGCTGCCTTCGATCGGACCGCATCGGTTTGTTCTCGAGACGAACTCGAG